CTGTTTACTGTGACAACAGCGCATTTGAAACAGAACATTTTCGCATTGTTTTAATTTCGTTTTTATGGACTTACTGCGAAATTAAAAACCACACTGATATTTTCTACAGTAGACTAAAAAGACATGTTTCAAGAGATTATAGACCGATTTCTTAAAAATTGTTAGAAACAAAACCAATTTTTTTTACATAAAAGCCATTCGTACAGTAACAGCGAGGGACTTCCGCGATCACGTCCATCGCTACGAACCGGTAACCTGTAGTCGATCCGCCGGCGCCCAATTCACGATCATTACGTGCCAAAATTTCAACTTTGTCTGGCGCTTAATTGAGGTGTAAAATACAAAGTTTTTGTGGCACTGGCGCCTAATTGAAGGTGGCGCTTAACTGAAGACAAATACGGTAGTTGATGACGGACAATGACGGACAATCAGTAATATGAACAGTGTCGACTTTATCGACAGCGGAGCTAAAAATTGAGCGTCAGCCAGCCATATTGAATTGAATCACAAAATAATGTTGGAACAAATGTATCCCTTGATATACTATCTTTGTACAAAATTTAAAGAGAAACATTCATTGCATTCAAGAGAAAGTAGCATGGGTACCTTGAAAAACAAAATATTTGTTTGATTCACGAAAAAAAATGATGTGCACCTACAACTCAATATGTATGATCATCATACCAACTTTGATCCAAATCGGCCCAGTCATCTCCGAGAAACTGCTGCGGACACGTTTAGGTATCAGAAATAGCAAATTTTACATCCAAAATGGCTGCCAGTCGGCCATTTTTGCTCCGACCATAAAGTAACTTGACGTGCATACGCAAGACATTATATATTGTCTTCATGTGAAGTTAGAATAAAATCTGTCAATGGGTGTCCGAGATATACCTCCGGACGTACATATGGATGGATGGAATGAACCCAAATTAATAGTCTTCGTTTTTGGACTTCGTCCGAACAGGGACTAAAAATGATATGTATCAAGGCATATACGTTTGAACAAAATTCATCTGTAAAAAGAATCCGTAAATGTTTGATTTTGATGATTTTCCAGCACAAAAATGGCCACCATTCGGCCATCTTGAATCAGATCGTGAAACAAATTGATGTGCATATGTATAATATCATGTATGAAGTCTAAGATACAGGTCTGGACACGAACGGACGGACGGACAGACAGACACACAAAGGTCAATCCACTGCGTCCAAACAGGGACGAATAACAACCAAAGATGCGTTAGCAATAAAGTGAAGTGCTTTCGCAAGACTGAATGTTCTTTGTGAACTTTGTATATGGGGCCTGGTTTTAGTTATAAACAGAAGTTAGCTTCACATTCACATACCAGCTTGTATTGATGATACCAGTCACTAGGTCCTGACTCCAGAAATAGGAGGCCCACCATTTCTTATATTTTTTAATCACATGCATTGATGAGAGTGATATCCTGATTTAAAAAAAATGCATTTTCCTGCATATGCTAAGAGAAGTAATATCAAAATAAGGTTGTGTAGCAATGACATTCACTCCCAGTAAAGTTCTACAGTTCAACTAAAGTCATATACAGCTGCTTCCCAAACTATGATTACATACCTTTGCTTTCCCAACAGGTGTAAACACATTTCCAGTACTGCCAGGTATCTTGGAAACGCTCGGAGTCAAGTAGTCCTTCTTCTCTTCTTTTTTCTCCTCATTTGCTTTCACAGACACATGAGACGTTGCCTGTTCACTGAGTTCGTCTGTAGTTAATGATAGTGTATGCTTAGCAGGAACAACGATTTCCGGCAACTGACTTACTTCAGCCTTGTCATCTGCCACATCAGCAGGTTTTCTGAAAACACACTCTGTTCTTACTTCTTTTGTTTCATTCACCTCACAAGAGTCAGTTTTATCAGTGCTCAGCATCCCTTGTTCTGAAATTTGTTTGTTTGTGATTTGTTCCACTGTATCATCATTGACTACATCAACTTCCATGTCTTCATCGTCTTTCAATTTTATTTCTTTTTCATCATTAACTCCAGACAGCATTTCTTGTTTTATATTCTGCTCTGTAATGATTTTATCATCCATTTTTTCTATAGTCTCATGTACTGGCTGTTCACAAAGCGATGTTGTGATTTCTGGTTTACTTTTAGCTCCATTACTTTGTGATTCTAAAATCTCTGTACAAGATTCAACACACGACACACCATCTTGTTTATTTTCTAATTTCGAGTTGGAAACCTTGTCTGTCATAAGTTCAATTTTACTGTCACTATTATCATCCTTTGTATTTTTTTCCCCTTGAGGTATAATATTTGCATTGTTGTTGCTACAGTTCTCACTCTGTATGATATCATCACGTTGTGTGGACTTTATGCTTACATCATCACTTTGCGCAGTATTCTTGCTGTCATCAATATGTGGTGTTTTTTCACATACCAAATCACTGGTGTCTTTAGAATGTATCATTTCAATATTTGAACACCCTGGTTGATCTTCATTTTGTTTTTTAGCCACCATGTCTTCTTCACTCAGCCTTTTAGGTTTCAACCACAAGCGTAAATCAGGATGGTTTGGAGTTCTGGAATAAAAAAAAACCACAATATAATATTGTATAGTTGTTAAACATGATTGAACTGGGTATGGCTTTCTAACCTAACCAGCAGTACAGACATTAAATGTCAATTGTTTTATTACAAGTATTAACCTTTTTCACCACCACACTTTCTCGCCCACATTTTTCTGCACTTTTTTTTATAATATTCTGCAATATTTCTGGAAATAAACCAAAATTTTAGAGCCAACAGACAAAATTTGAGTAAATTTTCAGTTTTTACTCAAATAAATTGGCAACTTTGTCAAAAAAAGAAAGTGCATACTATAAACAGGACTATTTTGTGAATTTGTGATGAAAAGGTTAAACTACATTATGCAAATGACATATTAACCAACAAGAATTGTCAATGCTCATTGGCTGTTCTGTATTTAATGCCAAATTACATCACCAAAAGAGATCCTGTAGTGTGGGATATATTTTACTAGATAGTGTTTTGATGATATCAGTCGTTGCTGGCAATGTATTATAATGCAAGCCAGTTGTTAAAATGTCATGTGCAACCTAATATGTATGATCTTGACACAAAGTTTGAATGAAATGGCCCTGTTCATTTACAAGACATGGTTCTGGGTACATTTAAGTATCAGAATTTAGCAATCTACAGAACCCATGGCCGCCAGTCAGTCATATCAAAATAGTATATGGTCTGTGCCTGAGCTTGAATTTGATTGGTCAAAGCATGTTTAAGAATGGCCTTGAACAAATGAACGAAACCCAAATTACCGTAAAACCTCTAAGATTTCAACCCCTCTAAAAATTCGGTCGCCTAATTGTTTGGTTGGGTTTCAATATTTTATTTACCTACAAATTTTTTTACTCCACTAAAATTGCTCACTTATTCTTATTCGAAAATTGCGACCAGTTTTGGTTTTCACCCAAACGGGAAAAAAATCGATGTGAGCGTCCAAACGGGACTTTCCCCGAAGGCGTGAGTTTCTGATTGACTGAGAAATTTTTATTTTATTGGTAACGAAAGTATATTCTAAACGAAGTTTCAAATAAAAACAAACACAACTGCATTGCGTAGCAGCAAATGATCACGGTTGCGAAATCCGGCCATGCTGCATTTCACAATTGTTGATTATTACTCAGTAGTGATTTATAATAATGTACACAAAATAAATTCGTTGAATTGTTATGAAATACAAATAAAATTCAACTTAGTTTCACGTAAGCGAATGATTCCGGTCTCATATAAACGCTCGATGCTGTACGATATCCGCCATGTTCTTTTAGGTCAAATCACTAATTAACCAATCAAAAAGCTGGATGATGTCAATGTGTTCAAATTACCATAGCTTATTTAAATATGTTAATGTTATTGAATGCAACACGGAAGAGACTTGCTGATGTTGTAGTCCGATCTTTTGGCTTAGATTTTGATGGGAAAACGGCATGAGTTTGTTTTTTTAAATCAAAAAATAAACTGAGCATTTGAAGAATAATTTAACATTTTTACAGTGATAACAGCTCATTGTCGAAACGAAGCTTACCCATTCACGCTAGTCACAATAAACATCATACTCTTGAATAGGCGTCAATGACTGCGGTAAAACTTAGACTCTATTTTAGGCATCAGGAAAGATTGAAACTGATGCCAAATACACCTTAAAAGTTCCATTTTATTTTTTTAAATCCCATTTTACTTGTTTAATCCAAACGACTGTTTAACGGCCAAGGGCGAATTTGCAGCAGAATCTGGTCCCTCAAATAAGTGACACGTGAGATTTGATTCTAACTGGATATATTGCACTGGGTCGGGGAGATATAAACTGCAACAGTTGCTAAACTTCCATGTATCTTTTGTCAAATGGGTACCTGTACTACGAACATTCGCAAGTTTTCCTAGGTGGTGCGCAACAGCTTTGTCTTTTGACCTATTTTGTTTTGTGCTGATTTCTTCTCCGGTCTTGATGTTTTGTTTTCCTTGTCATAATACTTACTGATTGATGACTTTGTTTTGATTTTGAGTTGTTTAGCCTACAACTCGGCCACGACCTTTGCTTTTACCGTGAAACATGGGGAAGTTTACGTCAATTTGACGGACATTCCATTTTTTAAAAACTAATGAAGCACACTATCTATCATCCCCATTTTTTTCATTTGCGGATTTGTATTCTGAAAAATTCAACCGTTCGAAAATGCACCTTAATTTTGACTCTAAAAACATCTCAGACTTTCAACACTAACTATTTAAAACCAGTTGAAATTTTTACGATAATAATCCCTGATTTTGGACTTCGTTCAATCAAGGACTAATGCCAAATTTTTGCACATTACACTTCAATAGTACCTGTATTACAGTTGAACAATACTTAATATGCAAATTAAATACATTAAATAATTTTAGAGCTACCTAATAAAAGTAAAAGCAAGGTTATAATGTGATGACTTACTGTAGTACAGTGAGTTTATTCTGTAATCCATGGAGTAGTTCATTAACAATGTGCATATCACTGACCAAGTCATGTGTTGCTAATATAGCTGGTGATACATGTTTAGAATAGTTGTCAGGTACAGACGGGAAACCAGCTAGTTCACCAGTTTTAAACCATTCTTGATCATATCTATATCGAGTATGACTACGATGACCTGAAACCAAACCAAATTTATCTCATACATGTGTATTTACAATGACACTACCTTGAATTCATAAAATCTTGACAAAATATCAATTTTTAGTGTCAGCTGACAGTTCCTAACATTGAATGTTCCACTTGTCGCTCCCGACTTGTTTATGTGCAAATTTCATGTACACATGCTTAAAGGTACATAAAGTGCATTTTGCAAAAGAAACCATATTCAACATCTAGAATAGTTTGACTATTTCTTTTAGGTGAAATTCTCCTTTTCTGTACAATAAGCGTGTTAGGAAATAACATTATGACAAACCTGCTGGGTTTTTACAGAAACAACAAATATATTTCTTAGGAACAGTATTCTCATTCAATCCAACACATCCACTATGCTGCCAACAAAGACATGTTTCACACTGTAAATCAATACAATAAATAGATTTATTAATTTCAACAGCAATATCAAATATGGTATATGATGTTATTGGACATTACCTGTATCATGAATCCACATGTACACATAATAGTAACATAATGCCTGCTATATACTAATGGTGTGAACAACTCATTGTGAAGATAAGATGTTATTGGACATTACCTGTATCATGAATCCACATGTACACATAATAGTAACATAATGCCCGCTATATACTAATGGTGTGAACAACTCATTGTGAAGATAAGATGTTATTGGACATTACCTGTATCATGAATCCACATGTACACATAATAGTAACATAATGCCCGCTATATACTAATGGTGTGAACAACTCATTGTGAAGATAAGATGTTATTGGACATTACCTGTATCATGAATCCACATGTACACATAACAGTAACATAATGCCCACTATATACTAATGGTGTGAACAACTCATTGTGAAGATAAGATGTTATTGGACATTACCTGTATCATGAATCCACATGTACACATAATAGTAACATAATGCCCGCTATATACTAATGGTGTGAACAACTCATTGTGAAGATAAGATGTTATTGGACATTACCTGTATCATGAATCCACATGTACACATAACAGTAACATAATGCCCGCTATATACTAATGGTGTGAACAACTCATTGTGAAGATAAGATGTTATTGGACACTACCTGTATCATGAATCCATCTTCTTCATCCATGTTACTAATGGTGTGAACAACTCATTGTGAAGATAAGATATTGTACATTACCTGTATCATGAATCCATCTTCTTCATCCATGTTACTAATGGTGTGAACAACTCATTGTGAAGATAAGATATTGTACGTTACCTGTATCATGAATCCATCTTCTTCATCCATGTTACAAAGACAGTGTACTATTTCTTCTTTAGTCAAAGCCGGATCATCAACCGATTCCATTGAGATGTCTGCCACCTCATCTTTCACCTCATCTACTTTGATTGGTGTAGTCACATCATTCACAACAGTCTCCTCCTTGAATTCCTCTTCTCTCTCTTTTGGTTCTTCCTTCTCTTCTTTCACTGTCAAATCAGAATGCAGTAATTGTATGTCAATGAGTGTGCTGTCACATCTGTCACGTACCCCAAAGCATCTAAGTACCAAGTGGTACATATCAGAAAATTAACAGATGAAAATTGCTTCATTATGCAAATTAAATATTTAATATTCATGAATTTGAACTTAAAAATAAACATATCTGGGGATTATTTCAAAGCACCTATTTGACATGTTTCAGTGAAATCAGTTGAGTGGTTCTTGAGATATTGGTAAAAAATGAATAATTAATATGCAGATTTCAACCAAAAACTTCACGGTCTGCACATTGTCTCAGAGCAGAAAGTTCTACTGAAATCCAAAGAGTGGTTCTTCTCTCTTGCATAAATTTCATAGTGTATGGCTTCTGTTATTACTCATAATGAACCCAATATAGCATTACTGTATTAATCTACATCTCTTTCAGTGATTGGAAACCAGTAGATTACGAAACACCAACAAGCAGCCTCTCGGCTGAGATAGCTCCGCTGTCAGCAATGCACATTTCAATTAAAGAACAGAAGATATCATTAGAAAATGAACAATATGCATAGTATCAATGCAATGGGACTTGCTGTTGTCAATAAGAATTCAAAAATATCATTTTTCACCATAAATGATTGTGGTTTGTAACAAAGAGAAAATATCACTTTTTACCAAAAATGACAAAAATATTCACCAAAATTAGATAATTAAAGATATCATTACAAAATGAACAAATCTGAGAGAGGTCCACATGTAGTACCTATATATGTAATATCAAAGCAATTTGACTTGCGGTTTTTAACAAGAAGTTGAAAATATCACTTTTTACCAAAAATGACAAAAATATTCACCCAAATTAGAGAATTGAAGATATCATTACAAAATGAACAAATCTGAGAGAGGTCCACATGTAGTACCTATATATGTAATATCAAAGCAATTTGACTTGCGGTTTTTAACAAGAAGTTGAAAATATCACAAAAATATTCACCCAAATTAGAGAATTGAAGATATCATTACAAAATGAACAAATCTGAGAGAGGTCCACATGTAGTACCTATATATGTGATATCAAAGCAATTTGACTTGTGGTTTTTAACAAGAAGTTGAAAATATCACTTTTTACCAAAAATGACAAAAATATTCACCAAAATTAGAGAACTAAAGATATTATTACAAGATGAACAAATGTGATAGAGATCCACATGTAGTACTTATATATGTAATATCAAAGCAATTGGACTTGCGGTTTTTAACAAGAAGTTGAAAATATCACTTTTTACCAAAAATGACAAAAATATTCACCAAAATTAGAGAATTAAAGATATCATTACAAAATGAACAAATCTAAGAGAGGTCCACATGTAGTACCTATATATGTAGTATCAAAGCAATTGGACTTGCGGTTTTTAACAAGAAGTCAAAATATCACTTTTTGTCAAAAATGACAGAAATATTCACCAAAATTAGAGAACTAAAGATATGATCATGAAATGAACAAATCTGAGAGAGGTCCACATGTAGTACCTATATATGTAATATCAAAGCAATTGGACTTGCGGTTTTTAACAAGAAGTTGAAAATATCACTTTTTACCAAAAATGACAAAAATATTCACCAAAATTAGAGAATTAAAGATATCATTACAAAATGAACAAATCTGAGAGATGTCCACATGTAGTACCTATATATGTAATATCAAAGCAATTGGACTTGTGGTTTTTAACAAGAAGTTGAAAATATCACTTTTTACCAAAAATGACAAAAATATTCACCAAAATTAGAGAACTAAAGATATTATTACAAGATGAACAAATGTGATAGAGATCCACATGTAGTACCTATATATGTAATATCAAAGCAATTGCACTTGCGGTTTTTAACAAGAAGTTGAAAATATCACTTTTTACCAAAAATGACAAAAATATTCACCAAAATTAGAGAATTAAAGATATCATTACAAAATGAACAATCTAAGAGAGGTCCACATGTAGTACCTATATATGTAGTATCAAAGCAATTGGACTTGCGGTTTTTAACAAGAAGTCAAAAATATCACTTTTTGTCAAAAATGACAGAAATATTCACCAAAATTAGAGAACTAAAGATATGATCATAAAATGAACAAATCTGAGAGAGGTCTACCTATATACACCAAGTATCAAAAGCATTCAGGCTTGTAGTTTTCAAGAAGTCGTTGAAAAAGTAAAACATTGACATGGACGACGGACAATCACTCATATGATAAGCTCCGCTCGACAAAGTCGACAGCGGAGCTAAAAATGTGACCGTAAGGTCATGAAACTTAGTCACTGAACACAGTGTACTTTAAAGCTATCATGAATGTATGCAAAACTGTAAATGTATAAACAACTTCACACTGTAACTTAATTTGTAACAGTTTGCTTTGTGAAGATTAGGGACAAGATAAGTTCTTAGGTGTGTTACAGAGCATATGGATGATTATTATTGATGACATACCTTCCACTATTAGTTCCTGCATTTCTGGTGGCTTTGAGGCTACTGGAGTTTGTTCCTGAGCTGTTGGCAATGCAGCAGGTGCAGAACATCTCTTCTTTCGATCAAGTCGGCTGGGTTTCCCATGCCCACCTGATTTGCTCCCAACAGATGCTGTAGAAAATACAACTATGTTTAAATTAAGTGACCGGGAGACAAATTTGATTCAATGTATGAATAAACAGCATTTTGAATTAGACAAAGAGTCGACGATCTCATTGTGAGAATACATTTTCTGTTAAATTTGCTAACAATACATCTTAAATTAGGGAAATTACAGATCAGCTAAATTAGCAAAAATAACCTAGCTAAAAAGAAATGTTTTACAGTATACTGAGCTGTACAAGATCTAATATATATTCTCATCAACTCAGGTTATAATATTTATATCTTAATGTAAAGTACACTATCCACAATAGAGTGTTCCACAATGTCATACATCTGCCACATATGAATAAATAGACCTCAGGCACTGAAGACCACAGAGAAATTCTTGGCAGTCAGTCACAACACAAGACTTACCCCCTCAAAAATGGTGTTTTATTCTCTTTCGTTATCGTGCACACTTTACCAAATTTACAAAGCTTAAGAAACAGTGGATGCGATGACAGAAGAGAATGGATTAATATTTGAGAGAGAGAAACAAGGTTTTTGAATCGTGCATTTCTAAAGTGCATTATAGTTGTTTTTCAATCCAAGAATCCCAAGAAAAAAATATTAGTTGACACATGACGGTGTTAGCTCATATAACTACAAGAGCCAAAAATGATTGTTATTTTACATAATGTGCCGTCAGTGGAGATGTGCTTTAAACAGAACCAATGTGAATGGAATTGCCTAGTATGGGAGTGTCAAGGTATCAAGGTTATGGCTAGAGAGTAGAAAGTGCATGCCTGAAAACTTCATTAAAATGAAAAATAGCAGTACCTAGTCTGTAATCATGGACTTACAATTGATTTTTTTATGGTTATTTTGTCATTTACTGGCAATTTGCAAGAATAATTGGACAGGTTTTACAAGCCTGCATAGTACATCAACTCTACAATTGTGAAAAAGCAATATTTTGTGTTTATATTTACCTGATTTAGCATTACTTATTGTTGTTGCAACAGTATCAGTAGTGGCGATAGTTAAAGAAGTGCTTGATGATGATGTTTCCATAGAAACAACATCTGAGGTGCTTACAGATGGAGAAGTAGGAGAAGCACTGGATCGCACAGAAGGCAAAGAAGCTGTTGAGGGAAGAAAAGCAGTATTTTAGTCGTTATCAATGCAAGAAAATATAAAACCATGATGAACAATGAAAAGTTTCTTATTTTGGCAAGTTAAAATACATCCAATGCTACATTTAGCTGGCACACTGGAAATTTTGTTAAACTATTTTCTGGAAACTGCTCAGAACACTGTATTTTTAAAATGTTTTAATTCAAAATGGCCACCAGAGTAGGCGTTAATGCTATAGGAAAATCTGTTTCTATGGAAATTAGTTGGGCACTCCTACTGTTTATTTGCATTTTGTCATTTATTTAATGGTAAAATTATTTATTTTAATTTTATATATTTTGCATTTTTACCAACCTCTAACCAAAATATTAATTTAGCAAATGATTGCCAACGTGTTTTGAGCAATTTTACTGGGTTAACAAACTGGGAAATAATAATGGCCATCAGAGGGACATACATGATTGGATAAGATCACAAATATACAATATGCAATTCAATATGAACATGCTGACGTAGATACTTGAAGTACTTTAATATTCCTGGAAATGAACCTTAATTTTGGAGACAACAGACAAAATTTAAGTCAATTTTGGCTATTTTTGTCCCAATCTTCTGAAGAAAAGTGCAGTCTATAACCAGAATATTTTGTGATGAAAAGAGAACTTGTGGTGAAAAAAGTTAATATAATGTTTTATACTACCTACTTGACCGCGTTAGTGCCCAGGGGCCTAAACTCAGAAAATCATGATTTTTTAGGGGTGGGCGCTTACCCGAGCACCCCCTAGAAAAAGAGTGCAAATAGAAATGTTGATTCATCTAGTGACAAATTACGTCTTTGAGGGAAAATCAAATTACTAAATTAGTTGCATCATTGATTTTCACAATGAAGAAACAGAAATGATCACAAAAAATACGCACATTTTATTACAATATTAATTACGTACCACCATAATTTACGGAATTAAAAACATTTGAGTTAGTTGGAACACAGTCAAAGTCAAAATTGTCATTATTTCCACCATGATGCATTTGCAGATTTGACCTACAGCAGCGTCCTTTGACCTAATGGGTCAAGTTGGTTATCTCTTGGAATTGATTTCAGCGAATAAACGACATGGTTTTTCCAAAAAACTAGTAACTAGCCATTTTTGAGAGGTAAAATGAATAGGGCATGAAATATTTATCGCATTTTACTTTTATTAACAGGTCATTGTCGAAGCGTAGTTTACACACGGTTATCGTATTCTACGCATTCACACATGTTCACAGCGATTGATATCCACGCTGTATCATATAAAACGATTACCCAAATTAGT